TTTTTTAGGAAACTAAAATACTAATCAGGAAATTCATATTAAAAATTTTCACTTCGACGTCATAAAAATTTATTTAAATTAAATTCAAACAAAAGCTCATGTTTCATTAAAAAATTCTCATGTAACTCACTTACATAAATTTTCCATTAAAAATTATTAATTTTTTCTATACTCTCCATAACTATTTCGTCCTTTTTTTTACAAGTGGTATGAGAGCATTCCATTCTCGATTATTTCAACTTTTGTTTTGACATTGAATTTTGTTGTTCACCACCAACAACACATATACATATTTTTTGAATACAATATGTTGTTGTTGTGAATTATCTAATTTTAGTAAGGAACTTTTACGATAATAACATATTCTGGACTAAAATACTCTAAAATAAATTAATTCTATGTATACATAGAATTTATATAAATTTATAAATAAACACTTTTTACAACTTTCTATTTTTTATGAAAACTATGTTATATAACTGTTATATAAATATTAAATATTCAAAATCTACATAATATAATGTTTGTCAAAAAATAAGTAAAATAATAAAATTTTGAAAGTTATGCTTATAATTTCAAATTTAACATTTAGTCACGTTTCATACGATGTTAAGTTAGGAGAACATTGGTGAGGATGTTAAGTTTTTATATGCTCATTAGCACACGACATTAGTTATCTAATACTATATTCAGCGCAATTTATACATATATGTAGATGTAGTATTTAAATTTTAAATTTGTTTTTCTAATCAATTTTTAATATTAATTTTATTAACAACAGTCCTACAGAGTTCAAGTTGCATATAACGTTTTCTCTTTAAATTTAATTGAAATGCTCTCACCTAAACTACTAATATAATTTCAAACTATAATTTTAAATTGCAAATAAAAAATATTTAATAAAAATTTAGAATTGAGACCACAAGATTTTTTTATTCGGTTCCCTCTTAAATTTTCTAAATATAAACTTTTTACTAAACCGCACATATCATAATTTTTCTAGTTAAATTACAATGTTAATAAACTTCAACTAAAAAGTATAAACTACTTATACAATTTTTGTGGGTGGATACTAAAATATTACAAAGGAACTACCATAAGAATACTATCAGAATTTCAATGAATGTCCTCAAAGTTCACTTGAAATTTTAAAATCATAAAAGATTTTCAAAGAATACTAAAATTTCCACATTTTATTTTAAATTTTTTATGTGGAAAAGAAAGTTTTTTTTCAAAAAAAAAAACATTGTTTACAAACCGCATATTGTGATTTTCTATATACCTACATGCATTTTACATCACGCTGTGATTCGAAAATAACTTATGAAATTTCATACTGTGATTTTAATTTTTTATTTAATTTAATTTTAAAATAGTATGACAATTCTGTTTAAACAAAAAAAATTTTTTTTTGACGAAAAACTGAAAATTTTGTTGTGTGACCGATTTATTATATTAAAAATTTTTTAGCACTGAAAAAGCGATAACTCTTTGATAAGGAGTCATAACATAAAAAAGTGATAAGGAGTCATAACTGGGCACTATCTGATAGACTGTCCATGTGAATTAAACGCTTTGCTAACGGCCATCTCTACAGGAACTGCTGTTACGAGGAGGAGAAGGAGAATGCAGCTCATCTTCTGTACTTATACCTGGCTTTAGCACTTTTCCAGCTTTCTTTATGCAAGTTACAGGCCTGACGAAAGTAAATGTAAGGGGTTTAAATCGGTTTATAAAACATTCGGGTTGGTTCACGTGAGATTAGAGGCCTGGCCTAAATCTTTTGACAGCCGCATGAACTTATTTCATATTATACCAGTAAATTTTACCAATTCTTACACATTTATAAATGATAATTGATTTAGTTTCCTTAAAAGGAAATTAATTTTGACCTTTTATCCCATCCCACTTGAGTTATTGCCTCTAAGAATTTGGACAACATCAATTTTGATCTATTCAATAGAATTTTTTGAAACTATAAGCTCTATCAATTTCCTATAACGGTAACGTCGTCCTATAAAAAATATTGAATATTTTAAAAGACAATTCGTAATCAACCACAAATTTCCATATTAATTTATACGGTTCCCATAAATTTTGTAGTTATCCTAAATGTATGCAATATTTTTCCTAAATGTATGCAATATTGCCTGTCTATAACAAAATTTAGGTGTAAGAAGGCGAAATTAAAAAAAAAAAATTAATAAACTTGATTGATAGTTTTTTAATATCTGCTCTTTATAACTCAATAAATGCTACAGTGTTTTTTCTCTATGGAAAACAAAATTAAGCTCAATTTACTGGAACTTTTGATTTTTTTTCCTTCTCACAACTTATTTAATAAAGTTCCCTATAAAAATTATACTTTTTATCTATTTTTTTTTTTTACATTTTGTCGCTTATCTCTTTCAATACTTTTGACTTTTATTTTTGTCCACCCACGTAATAATGAAGGTCCAATCTATCTACATTTATTAAATATCACAAAATTACAATGCAAAAAGCTACAAAATTTTATCTTTTTCCTGTTTTTATTGAAGTTTATAAAAGTAATCTAAATTTTTTTGTGATACTGAACGTTGTCTCTCTCTCTTTCTATTCGTCAAGATTTTCTATGAAAAAGAAATTTTGTATAACTTTAATAATGTTAATGAAAAATAAAGAACAGAAGAAAAGAAATAAAAAGATAAAAAAGTCTTTGAAATTTTATTAGAGTTTTTTTGTTAAAATAAAAAAAAAATCTGAAAAGTATCCAAGACAGGTGTCCTATTTCTTAATTTTATTATTATCATTATTTATATCTTTATAATAAAGTTATGAATATTTTTAGCTTAAATAAATTTTTTTTTTTGGAATAAGAAAAACTTTATCAAATCTTTAAAAATCATTCCATTGCAACAGAGATAAGCAACATTGTTTTAACTTAAAGGTTAAAAAATTTAAAAAGAAAAACAGCTGTAACTTTTTTCTCCTGAAAAGGAAAATTTTCTTCTGAAAAATATTTAAGATATTCGTAGGATTTTCATCTTTGTATCATAGCAAAATTTCAATGTTATCTTCAGTTCTTGACATTGCGTTAATAGAACCCCAAATCATACGTCATTTATTTTTGATCTTAATAATTAAATACAAAACTCTATAATAATTTTTCTTAAACAAAGTTGGAAGAAATCTCACAAGTATTGAGGCACTTAAAATTTGCTTAAAACAAAGACTAATACAATTATTTCTATTATTATTTAAATGCCACAAATCTTTCCAACCAACTAAAAGTCGCTTTCAACCCATTTTGAAAAAATCTTAATCAAGCTTTGTTTAGTGCTTTCTTCTTAATCACACATATTCTTATAATAGCGTGTAATAAAACATAATCCCGCACCTGACGTGACAAAAGAAATTTGTCAAAATCGTCACCTTTGCAATGGTCCTTGGTATAGAGGCGCGATAAAAAATGTTTTTAGCATATAGCCATGACGATTTTTGCACTATTTACCATCACGTCAAATGTGTTACCATTTCAATTTCCTCGTCTATGTGTACCAAAACATGGGACGTAATCATAAAGATATTACTTCATATGTTATTTACATGCCGACACGACTATTCGAATATGGTTAAATAATTTATCTACCTCAACATTTAAATTCAAACACAAAAAAAAATCAAAAAATTCTAAAATTTTGTCATAATATTTTTTGTAAAATTCTGAAAAATGTGAAAATTTTAAATTCAACCTTGTTTACAATTTTTTTGCTCTTTTTGTTTTTGTTTAATAAAAATTTATATTTATAATTTACATAATCTTTATTATTTACATAAAAATCCTCGTAAATAATAAACACCTAGCCACACATATAATGAGACGCATATACAGTGAGTGTTTGCTTAAAATATTTCAAGTGAAATAATTTTAAACCAAACAATAATATAAAAAATTTATTTTAACTGCATATTTTCCAATCTGTCAACTTTATTTTATTTTAAACAAATTAACCAATAAACAAAAAATGAAACAAGTCAACCAAATACACACATATGTAAAACTTTTATACTACTGTATGAGTATGCTAACATGTATGTTGTTATGTTTGTATACATATAGTTAGCAGAGTAAGGCAATAACTGTAAATTGTGAATTTGTATTTATATTTTTAGTAGGAACGCTGAAAATAGAAAAAATTATGCAAGTTTTATATTTTAACATTCACATTAGATTTGTATTTGAATATGAAAATTAAATAAAATTTTTTTGACTCTATAGGTACATACAATTTAAAAAAAAAATTTATTTTACAAAAATATTTCAGATTTTTAAGTAAATATTTGCTAAAAAATTAAATATGAGAAAAATAATGCAAATATTTCGTAAGTATTTAAGTGAATAACAATGTAGATAAATTGCAAACTAAGTGAGCGAAAAATTTCAGGAATTAAATTTGAAATATTAGAACAATTTTTGGAGTATCTGCACATTTTAGAATTTTTCATTCTGAAATTTATGAAAAAATTATATTGTTAGTATTTTTACAATTTTGTCAAATCATTATACTTAAGTATCCCCGAAATTGCAATTTTTCAGTACTGAGAGTTTGTCAAATAGAATTTTGAAATGGTTCTGTTTTTCAAAGGATGTTTCAACTTCAGCCTCGCTAATTTTTGTTAAAATAAAGAGTTGGTTGCAAGCAGCCAATTTCCATTATTAACTAGAACTGGCAAAAATGGAAATAGTTGATTTTGGATTTTTTCATAAAAATATATTTTTTTACATTTTATAAAAAAATATAAAAAATTTTTTTACATTTTGTAAAAAAATTTTCAAAAACACTACTGCCCATGTAAAAAATGCAAAATCTTTATTAGAAATATTCATTGTTAATTTAAACGACCAGCTGTGTTCGTAAACACTTTAATAAATTGCCTTAAATACATATTGAATTTTTCTTTTTGTAGTTTTTCTATTTCTCAATGTAATAACCTTAATTAATTTTTACGTATTACAGGAAAAAAGCAGAAGTCAACATGGAAGGGCAATTTTTAGTACGACAAATTTACGACGATGAAATAACTTATAATTTAATAGGAGCTGCAGTAGAAATTTTAAGTAAGAATTTTTAAAAATACCGAAATAAATTCATTTTTGGCTTTTCGTTTTAAATTCAAAATATAAAAATAAAATGTTTTCTCTTTAATTTTTTAAATTGTTTTTGTCTATCTTATTTTTTGTATTTTTTCTAAAACAAAAAAAAATTGTAGATATTCCAGCCGACGCTATTCTTGAACTTTTTGGCAAAACATTTTTTGAATTTTGCCAAGATTCTGGTTATGATAAAATTTTGCAGGTTTTAGGAGCAACGCCAAGAGATTTTTTACAGGTAATGAATAAAAAATGAATAAAATAAACTTACATATTGGCAATTCAGGTTTATTATATAAAAGTATTTGTGTGTTATTGACTAGAGGAATATACATATATACAAACACATAAAGTTGGTCATATTTTATTTACATTTATGTTTATACCTTTTGTGCAAATGTAAAACAAAACATTGTACTGAAAATGTAAAATGAAAATCTTGTCAAGTTATCCAATTAATAAAATGGTTTGCTGCAATACAATTGACCACCATTTTTAAAGAGACTTTGGCTTTTGAGTTCGTGTATTCATTTCATTTGTATGCTTTTAAACAGTGTTTGATTATATATGTGATTTAATAATAAAATTTATTTTAAAGACGGCATTATTAAATTTACAAATTGGTTCAAAATATTTTTCGCTATTAATAATTTGTTGTCAAACGCTTTGTCAATAATGATAATTATATACTCCGCATATCGTAAATTGTAAGGAAAACTAAAAAACACTATGGCTAGATCTTATAATATAACAGAATTTGTTAATTACATTTAATCCCAATTAATTAAAAAAAATTATATTTCTTTTAATTTTTAAGAATTTAGACGCTTTGCACGATCATTTAGGTACACTATATCCCGGTATGAGAGCACCATCATTTCGATGTACAGAAGATAATGGAAAATTAATTTTACATTATTATTCAGAACGACCTGGATTAGAGCACATTGTAATAGGAATAGTTAAGGTAGGTCCAAATTAAAATATTTAGACGAAAGTTTGAGTTTATTTTAAATAGAAAATTAATTCCATTATTACACATATACTCCAAGATCTGACACAAATTTTTTTTTTATATCAAATATATATAAAAGGCTGTTGCATCAAAACTACATGGTGTAGAAGTTGACATCGAAATTATTAAACGTAAAGGTGAACCAATTGAAAAAGAAGATCATAGTCAAGACGAACAAAAACCAATAGAACAACAATCCGATGATATCGAATGTAATGTTAAAGATTTAAATATTATAGAAGAGAATAATAATGAACAAAATAGCAATGATAGCAAATCTAATAATTTTTATGGAAATAATGCAGGCAGTACAGAAATTAGTTGTAGTGAAAATCAAAATAGTCATGAAATTTTATCAAATAGAAATCATTCAAATTCATCAAATTCGATTAGTAACGTACAAGGTAAATATTAATGAATTATTTTAATTTCCAAACTCTTAATTTTTAATTTTTGAACAGGACAACTTTGTTAAACATTAACTTTTTTCAATCTGGCATGGATTTCCTTCGAAAATCATAAATCGAATATTGATGAAAGACAATCCTTATCTTCCTCCTTACCAACTTTCTGTGATAAATTATTAAAAAAGAAGAAATTTAATTTCCGGCTAATTAAAGTAGTTGGATATTTTATTGACAAGGAATTCCTGAAATTACTTTGATTAAATATTTTTAATGTCAAACAAATTCCAACAAAATTTTAACTTGTTGGAAATGATGACATTTTCCTTTTGTTAAATTTTTCTCTCGAAAACTTTGTGAACACTGCAAAATCATTGAAAAAATTTAATTCTCTTATTTTTTTTGCAATAAACTTTGTCCTTTGTGCACATGCACAGGTAATAGAAATATTTTTAACGTGTAAATAATTTTCTTATAGTTGTTGTTGTTGCAAAATACTTTTTCAATAAATAGCTTTTATGTAATTTTATAATAAAAATGCATTAAAAATAATTTAAAGAGATGATAATAAATTTTTTTATTTCTTAAATAAACTGAGCAAAATATAAAAAAAAATTATAAAATTATGTGACGTAAATTAATGTGAAACGAAAAAGTTTTATAAAAACGATGGCGTCGTTTATGTCAAAAGTTGGAAAATTAAATAATTGATTTAAAAAACAAATAATAAATTTTATTACGGTAATGAAATTGAATTTTATTTTAAAATGAAAACCAATTTTTATTTAAAATTTTGTAGACAAAAGTGATTCTGTGGATTACTTTTTAATTTAAACCTTAAATTAGAATTTAATTTCGAATTAGAAAATTTAACTTTGGAATTGAATTTATAAAATTTTGAATAAATTTTAAAATTGGGAAGTTGCCCTTATAACCTTACCATTCGCATGAAATATTCTGAAAACTCGTAAAAAATTGAACGTTTTTTCTCAAAAAATCCCAATTTTTTTACATCGTATGGTAAAACTGATATTTGACAATTAAATGTCTCTCTCTTTAAACTTTAAGCCTTAAAAGAGAGAATATCTTAATAAAAATTGAAAAACTTAAAATATCAATTTAATATAATAATTAATTTTTAATTTTCTTAATTTATTTTTAGATAATCCAGTAACAAATTGTCCGTTTGCTAGCGATAGTAATAATATTATAAATTCAGAAAATAATAAATTAGAAAATTTAAATCCAAATAGTTGTTTAGGTGAAAAAATAAATTTAGGAGAAAGTTTTGATGAAGTGAAACAAAATGAATGCCTCCGTTTATTAAAAAATAAATCCGATGATATTGAACGTTCCGATCATGTACAATTTTTAATAACAGAAACTTCTGGTACTAAAACAAATGTATCAATTGAAGAGAAAGAACAACAGGATGATTTAGAATTTATTAGTGAAGGTGAAATTTTAAATTAATAAAATAAGTAACAATTAAGAAATTATTTTCAATTTCAGACCCCTTAATATCCTTACAAACATTTTGTAAAGTTTTTCCTTTTCATTTAATGTTTGATCGACAAATGAAAATTGTTCAAGCTGGTAAATCATTAGCAAGATTAATACCAAGGTAAGTGTACATACAAATATTTGGTAAAGAATTTTTTATTTATAGGGAAAAAATTATATTTGATTTTGTATAGGATTTTGCCATTTTATCGAATTATAATGAACCCCAAACAAATTCGAAACAATGAAATTCTAAGAAAATATTCAATTAAAACTAAGTGTTAATCGAAAAACCTATAACATCATTGGCACGCAAATAATCAACTTTTAATATTTTATAAAGAATTTGATGTAATTTTGGTGCATCATACCTGTTTTTCATTTTCCAATTGTTTTTATTTTCGACTCTCTTATATTTGTTTTTGTTAAACTCTATTAAAAATTCTAATGGCATATCATAAATTCTCTATATCTTTTAAAATCTTTGAATTTTTCATGAATATAGATCATACAAGTACCTACACACTATACAAAATTTAAAACTTTTTAATTATTTAAAAAAAAATCTAAAAAAAAAAAACTATATTTTTTTTTTTATTTTATAACAGTTTATTATTTATTATTTTTTCAGAGTTGCAGATGAAAACTGCCCCTTACTTGAAGTGCTTGAAGCAATACGTCCTCATTTATTATTAACTTTTGATAATATTTTAGCCCACATCAATACAATTTATGTTCTTCAAACTAGACCAGGTGCTATGGGAAAACATGAAAGATTTTTAAGACTGAAGGTTCGTATTACAATATTTATGTGAGTGTATGCTCATGTATGGTTTATTATATTAAGTTCATCAAATTTGCATGAAAAAAGTACATACATGAAAGCACATATCATACGTAGCGTACATATACGTAGTGTACTATATGCTGTGTACAGTGTAGTTCGTTTATTATTTTGAAAATGTTCTCTAACTTTTATTAAAAAGTATTCTCATACATAATGCATTACATACACGTTCAAATTGTTATATATGTGTGTCAAATATACAATATAATACATATGTTTTTTTAATATACATAGTCGTTTGCACTGTATAATGTCCATTATATGAAATTGTATTTTTATAAAAATTATTTAAACTTGAAATTCTGGTTTACAATTAAAATTTCTTATTTAAAGTTTAATTACTTTCTCTTTTTTTTAATTATAACTTTTAGTACTTGAACTTTATATAACATTTGAATTGCATTACTCAAGTACGGAAATCTATTCTTGACCTTGTTAAATGTATAACATGGTCATGTAATGTTGAAAGAAATTTTCAGAATTTTTCATATTTAAACAATCTTATGTACTAATACTGCTCAAATATACACATACATATCGTAAATTTGAACCTTTTTAACAAAATTATAATTTAATTACTCGAATTTAGGGTTTTGTTTCTGTTTTATGAAAAATTTTAATAAATTGTCCAAATAAACTTTGAAAAATGTTATAATAATTTGAATCATCTATTGTTTATGGTTTTTGTTTAGCTTGCACAGTGTTTGTTTAAAATAATTGAGTTACGCTGATTGAAAACGTGCCAGCTGATAGCCATAATCAACTTAAAATTAGACACAGAATTTAACGTAGAGTTTTCTACAAACAAAAAATTTTGAAACTAATTAAAGAAAAATTAATTTTACACGCGCAATCAAGACGTTTGAACAAATTTTCAAAAACCAAAAATTTTTTCTTGAAATTAATGACAATCCTGTAAAATCTTATTTAAAGCAAAAGTTTTCATTATTAATTTTTTATTATTGCAAATAAACTCTTTAGATGATTTCAATAAAATCCCACTAAATTTAAGAATTTATTTTACATACACCCATAATAAACTTTTAGTTTTTGTTTTTCTAGAATCATCTAGTCATCACCCTCATATAAGAAACAAAGAAAACTCATCAAATACTTTTATTTTTCTATTATCATCCTTCTATTCCACAATTTTTTTTGTATGTTTTATTGTAATTTATGACTATGATTTTTATTTTTTCTCTATAGATTTCATTTAAAACGTACGTAAGACTCTCTTACCACATTTTTCCCCTATAATAAAATGTCCCATATAATGGAAAACTTTAAAATTTTTATACTCTTCTCTATTTGAGTTTTTTCATTCGACTTTAGTGTTTTTTAATGAAAGAAGAAAAATTTATTACTTATGATATTTATTTTTTTCTCATTGTCGTAATTTTAACTTGTAAACAACATTCATACATTGTACATATTATCACTTGAATATGAACATATTTTCCCACATGCCTACGCAAATACACACGCACACATACACACATTTGAATCATAAAAACCTAATATTCATATTTTATTACGTTTAAATATTTCTCCTTTGTGTCTCTTTTTTATAGGGCCAAATGATGTACATAGCAGAATCCGAACACATTTTATTTCAGTGCTATCCGAGTGTTATGAACTTGGATGACCTAACAAAGTATGTATAATAATGGAAGATATTATATTTTAACAATTAAAAAAAAAGGATGCATGTGGAGGAAAAAAGTTTTTATATCATTTTTTTAGCATAGAATAAAAAATTTTTAAAATATTTATTAAAAAAGACGAAAGTCCTTTTGAATTTTTTTTTTGTCCTGTTATACCACGGGAGTGAGGTTTAATCATAAACATACATTATGTACATATGTACAAATGCCATGTTGTATTACAAACATTATGCATGATATGCGGTCATATCAAATGTCAATGTGAATGTTTTAAAAGAATGATTGCAAAAGTGGTCATTTCAAACAAACTTTAGTTACGGCCAATGAATTTTAGAAATATGTTAAATAAATTTAAAAAATTCAGTTGGCGCTATTTTATATAAATTTTATTCAATTCCAATGAGTTCCCTTCGACTTTTACATGGGCTAATTGGTTTTTCAATTGAAAAAATTCTTTTGAAATTTTTGCGTCGTTAACTTTTTCTTCTCAATGCCGAAATGCAGAAATTTCATAATATTTCAATTATGAAATCAAATTGAATAATTGACTTGCATTCCATTGTTCACTGATAAAAATATTAATCTATATAAAAACAAGAATTGATATAATTGACCGTGGCAATCCTGTGATACTCGTACGAATGAATAATTTTAAAAATTGTATAATAATTTATTATAGCCACATTGTTTCTTGAGTACTCTTTCTCTAAAATATTGTTCTCAACATACAAACTTTTGTTTGTTTTTATGTAGTGGTTTGTTATGCATATACGGTAGTTAGTGCATAATTCAGTACTGCAATTTCAAATACCACAATAAGTCATTCTTAACTTTGAACATCATTACGTTCGTATACGGATGTAATGAATGTGAATGAATAATCGGAATTTTTGACAAATATGCGCGTATCTATTCATGTTTTGAATAATTAAAAAGTTATTTAAAAATATTACCATTTACTTTTTCTAATAAAACGTTATTCTTGCATTCATTTTGTATAGGAAAGGCTTGTATATATCAGATGTACCACTTCATGATGCAACAAGAGATCTTGTACTGTTATCTGAAAAATTTGAAGCTGAATATAAATTAACACAAAATTTAGAAATGTTAACAGATAAATTGCAACAAACATATAGGGAATTAGAAAGTGAAAAACAAAAAACTGACAGGTAAGATCTGAAATTTTTTAAATCAATAAATTTTGATTGATAACTTCTCAAATATTAAATTGTTGGTATTTAATTAATCATATACACATATTATTTAAATGATATATACAGGGTGGTCCAAATCTAGTGTTACAGCTCTTGAATTCCTTTGAATCTTTTCTAAAAATGGGATGCTCGTGTGAAGGGGATGAACTTCTAATTGTAGTTTTGAAGGGTTCAAGAAAGTTAGGAAAAACTTTGTCTAACAAAATACCCATAACACCTTGGAGACGGCTAAAGTTCGCTCCTTTTTTCCTTAGTTCGGTTTTAAAAAAAATCTCAAAATTATTTGGTAAAATTATATGCGATGGTGTCGCATCCTATAGTCATATACGCTTAATATATTCTTTTGAATTTTAAACTAAATTTTAAATCTTAATAAAATTTAATTTAACTCTTTCCCATTCCTAAGAAAAGTTGCTCGACTTTGACTATAAAATTTCACCATATAGTTAAATATCAATTAAATACCTTTTACAAACTAAAATTTTTGTCAAATAGATTAATTTACTTTAATCTCTTTTAACAATTTTAATATTTATTTTCTTTGTATAGATTATTATATTCAGTACTTCCTAAGAGTGTAGCAAATGAATTACGGCATCAAAGACCAGTACCACCAAAAAGGTAAGTAGATAATTGAATTTTTCTTAAAAAACCCTCAACATATTAAGCACACATTAAGTGAATATTTAAACATGGTAATAACTACCTATATAAAGTAACATCATTTTAAGTTATAAGCCTATATTGTAATCATATTAGAACGTCTTATACACATTATGGCAAATACCTAATACCGTAAATAAATAAAAATATCTCCTTATGTTTAATTAGGTAAAATAAAATTGACCGAAAAAATTTTTTCCTTTAAATTTCAACCAAAAAAGCATCTTCTCTTTCTGTCCCTTAATTTTTTGATATTAATCCTTTAATTTTTTGATATTAAACAAATATATATATTTATTTATTGTATGGTTAAAAAAGACAAATAAAATTTTAGGAAAAAAAATTAAATTAAATTGCCCTTTTTTATAGTTACATAAGAAAAAATTGACTTTTTTAGACAAATACGAGCAAGAAAAAAATTTACAAGGTAACTAATTGGACAAAAAATAATATTTGCATAAGAAGGGCAGGGAGTGTGAAAATATAAATAGATCATAGTCATTTAACAAAAAGTTAACCCTTAATTTGTACAAATTTCCCATAGATTAAAACTAAAGAATATTATAAAAAAGAAAATTAAACACAATTTAGGCCACATATTCTGGATATAATTTTAGTTTATTAAGGCGGGGACATAGGGTATTGTAAGGTAATCGATTCATACTTTGTTATAACTAAACAAGATTCATGCTGTTTTAAACTTTTTCTAGCGATGGATCCATTAAAATTGACGAACAATTAAAGGTCAAATAAAAATGTCGAATATTTGTTTTTGGGTTTTTAAAACAGACACCATATATACAAAGTTCTTGTTCACAATAATAATTAATAAACCCCAAAAAAGTTAACACTATTTTACCACATTCTACTATAAATTAATACCAATTTGCAAAATTTGATACCTACGTTTTAGACAATTGTAGACACATTATTTTTATCCTATTCTTGTTTGACTAGAGAATCATTTCGATTTCAACGTTATGACTGAATGAAAATAGTTTTATATAATTTAAAGTCAAACAGATTTGTGTTTTCATGTTAAGGACTTTATGCTATCAAAAGCAAAAATAAATATTGACTAAAGTCAATTTAAATGGTTAGAATCTTTAAATTTTATGTACATAGTTTAACTTACTTAATTTTAAAATTAGCTTATATTTATATTTATTTTCAGATATGATTATGTTACACTTATGTTTTCTGGTATTGTTGGATTTGGACAATATTGTGCTGCGAATACAGATGCTGAAGGTGCCATGAAAATCGTAAAAATGTTAAATGAATTATATACAATTTTTGATGCCTTAACAGATTCTAAACGAAATGCCAATGTTTATAAGGTAAGAAATATTCAGAATCTTAGAATTAAGCATTGCATTTAATAGCCCGGTACGCATTATAATTAAATATATGCATGCCTGTGGGAAATGAAGAGCAGCTGTTGTTATTTTTATTAAAGTCCTCAAAAATTAACATTTTGTATATTTTTTAAAATTTTATAATGATTTTTGATTATCTGTTGAAAAAATACTAATTATGCTGGAATATAGAATCGGCATATTATGCTACTTGATTACATAAGAAAATGCAAATGAAAATTTTTAAAATTACCGCAGTTATTGGCTTGTGAATTGTTGTAGATTATCCTTTTAAAACGATTATTGTAGACAAAAATTTCTAAATTTTTTTTTACTTGTGATAAACAAAGACGTTTATCCACTTTTACTTCCTTTAAAAATAACTTTTATCCTTTTTTGTATATTCTTCAGGTTGAAACTGTTGGTGATAAATATATGGCTGTTTCTGGCTTACCACATCCATGTGAAGATCATGCAAAATCTGTATGCAGATTAGCTTTAGATATGATGGATATCGCAAAAAATGTTAAAATGGGACCAAATCCAGTTGTAAGTATTTTATTAAAGTGTTATAATATAAAAACTGTTATACAAATTGTTATAATTTTCAAAATGTCAAAAAATGCATTCTAAATTTTTCAATATTGCACTCAACTAAACTTGTAGCTATATTGATTGGTTATTTATTATTGAATTTAAACAAGGTGCAACCAAAAACTTTTAAAATATTAGGAAAACTATAGGTTCTTAAAAGTTTTTCTGTTTCAAGAAAAAAAAAAGTGTGGTCTTTACATAGAAATAATTTTTTTTCGTTTGGTTTTCCTGTTTTCTTTGGTTTCTACTTTCTAAAATTAATGTGGAAAATAAAAGTTGAAATTCCTCAATATAAAAACTAAAAAAAAAAATTTTTGTTCTACGAGTAAGTTCATTGTCTTTAAGAGTAAAAAACCAAAGAATCCATAATGCAATTTCTAATCTTTACGACAGCAAAAAAAAATGTGAAAATTCTTGAGAAAAGTTTCTTTACAATACTTTTTTTTATAACACCAGAAAACCATATTGAAAATAAATTAACCGTAATAAAGAGGGTTTATTTGAAGCAAATTTCCTAGAATAATTAAAAAAACAAAATTTTTAACATTTAAGTGATTCCACAAAAGAATACTTCTATAGTACTTAAGTATATAAAAATAGATCCTATAATAGGTGATTAAATAGAGAAAAGAGGTTTATGGAAACTAGTTGAGATTTTGATCGCAAATTTATCCGACAGTTAGACTCATCCTAAGTAGGCTCTAAAACGACCCCAAAAAAGCTTATAAAATATTTCCAAATTAGTAGCGTTGAGAAATTTTTGAAGGGTAGATAAATTTCTAAAAATCAGTTTTAAGCGACAGTTGAAAATAATTTCTGTAAGTCGTAGTAAACATTCGAATATTTGAAGCTACAAGACAATTAATTTTAAAACTAGCGAACATATTAATCTTTTATAGTCCAAGCTTATCAATAGGAGAAATCTCGTATTCCTAAATAAATTTCTGTTTTTACAGTACCCACAAAATATTTCCCCAAACTTTTAACCTTCTTTTTTTTTATAAAAGCACATATTTTATGTCCCCAAATACATAATGCTCAGATATATGCATAGTAGTAACATATATGCAGTATATGTGAGAGAGTAATAATTGACAGACAAATAATGTTAAAAGTAATGTGGAACAAAAGAGCACAAAATTTTTTTTTATGCTTATAAATTCGAAAACTTTGTATAAAACAAAGTTTTTTAGTTAAGATTATCTTGATTGTAGGAGTACATTTTCTACTAATATGAATACTAATACCAAAAATTATCACCCTCATATAGAAAAAATAAAAAGTCAAAAATGGAATCCTAATGAAGATGATGATAAAAAAAAATCGAGAATAGGATTTTTTTTTTTACCTTGGAAAGGAAATTCCATACCATTTCAAGGAAAAAAAATTTTTTCTTTTTATGTACGTGCGTTTGTTTGAAAAAGAAAAGTAGAATTAAAGTTTACAAAAAGTTTTTCCATAAAAATTTTCAGGGTAACCATTATGTTAACTATTTTTATGGTATTATTCTTAAGGAAGACGTGGTAATATTCTTTTTTATAAATTACTCTGATTTAATGTTATAAATAAGATATGTATGTAAGGTTTACATAAAATGGGTGAAATAAATATTTGATAACTGTTGATTGTTTGGTACTCTGAAGAATAAATTAATTCTACACGAATAAATTTCAAGAGCCCTTTTGTAAATGGAACACAAAATTATTGCGTGTACTTAAATTTAAAATAATATTTTCAAATACAATAGAAAATAATTTTAACTTTAATAGTAAATCAATTTGCTAAGAGGATTCTCTTTTAACTACCTTCAAGAGCCATCGCTCAATTTAATAAAGCATTTACAAAAAAATTTCAAAAACCAATGTAGATTGTACTTTTATATCTTTGTCACAGAATTTCCATGTAGTTAAATTCAAACATGCAATTTTTCCTTTAGTTTATTATTACAAATTTCAAGACTTCTTACAAAGACTAAGAATATTTCGGATTCCGTACTGTATATAGAAAAAATCCAATTGTCATGCAGTTTTACTTAAAAAAATACATTAATACGAATTCATGATGAGAAAGTCGTGTTTTCATTCTCAATAAAGGAAAATTTGTTATAAATCTACTCTAGGTCCATAACTTACAAAAGAAGGAACAATAATTTCAGTTATGATTTATGGTAACACTAGACTTAAATGTATGTACATTTTTAACAATAATCTATTAAAATCTAATTAAAATAATTTTTTACTCTTCCTTCTACATAATTTTATTTATACGAAAAAAATATTTGTACGAAATGATAACTATAAAAATTTGAAAAATGGAAATATTTTCCACATTTTGAATAACAAATCTAGAAGAAAAGTGAAAATTCTGTTTACCACAATATTTTAAATTCATATCACATTTTTTAATAAAAGAAAACATAAGATTCCGAGAATCTTATTTTAAAAATCCTTGTCATTAATGCAAACAATGAAAAATGGAATAAACAATATTTTCAGTTACTACCATATGGTTTCGGGTCTAATTTCAAATCAAAGTTACAGTAAATTTTCTAGTATTTTTGTAATTATACACAATAGCTTGAATCTAGAACCTAAAATTATTTAGTATGGGAAATAAATAAAATCTGTTTTCCATGTTAAATATCTATTCTGTACAAAATTATTTCTGTACAAAATGTGACAATGTGTTGCTATAATTCTAAATTTTATAAATTATATTTACAGCAAATCACTATCGGAATACATTCAGGTGAAGTTGTAACAGGTGTTATCGGAAATCGTGTACCTCGTTATTGCCTTTTTGGTAATACAGTTAATTTAACAAGTCGAACTGAAACCACTGGTGTACCAGGAAAAATTAATGTTAGTGAAGAAACATATAGGTAAGGTGCATGTAATTTTAAACTGAATAAATGTTTATATTTATAATATTTAAAATATAAAATAATTAGAAATTGATAAATTTTTAAATTATATTGAAAATATTTACGATATGAAATTAAAATGATCATTGAACGCATTAAAATTTTGACTTGTAAACGTAAATTGGATAATAGGAGTTCATCGTTTCAAAATCTTTTAGTGAAGAGTTAAATTTTACTTAAAAAGTGTCTTAAGAGAAAAACTTTCAAGCAAAACCTTAAAATTAAAAGATAAAAGGATTTAATATGACAATATTTTACATTTTATAATACAATTAAATTTATTATTCTTATTACAATAAAATATTTAAAAATTAAAATTATATTTTTAAATACAAAACTAAAGAAATTAATTTTAAAACTAAATTTGACTTAAAAATTTTTGTCGATCTCCTCTGTTAAATCTATATATCGTTGTAATTTCTTTGGTAAACGTAATGTATCAATACCAATTGGTAATTGAGAATTTTGTCTTAGCAAATCACGAATACGACATCTGAAAGAATATTAAATTAAATTGCATGAACATTTTAAATAATATTATGAAATTAAATTGCATAAATCTAGGGGTTGTCTACTATTTTCTTCTCGGTCACACTGTGTTTTATCATAATAAGAACAGTTTATTGAATGAAGAGAAGAATTTCCCAAAATTTTTTAGCAAAATTTCCTTCTAAGAAGAAAATTTTGCGTTCTGTTGCATTATCCTGATTAAAATTTTCATAAGCGCTTCCTGTTTAACGTTGTTACATTCTACTACTTTCTTGAAACAAAAACCTGTATTTTACCAAACTTTATATTACTTCTCTATAATATTTTTCTAATTTTATTTGAAATTTTTTCATAAACATTTCTTTAAAATTGTCTTATTAAATTCAAAAAAATAAACCGAAATTCTGCGAAAATTTTCATGAACAATATCAAATTTTGGAAGAAAAAACGCGGCTTTTATTATGAAAATTTTGAATTTTTCCAAGAAAATTATTATCATTAGCCTACCTTATAACGAAAAATTTATTTTCATTTTCAATAATATTTTTCTGTTGAAAATTTGATTAAGAAATTTTCCTTCTTACGAATAATTTATGTTAACAAAAAATATGGTAAACGGAAAACTTCTTCAACAAAAAAAAATTTTCTTCTCTAACCATTTCTTAAAAGTTCATTTCTGTTAAAAAGTTTAAACATTTATGTAATGTTATGTTTTGAAGAAAAACGGATAGGAAGTATCACTTTAACACAGAAAAAAAATAATTTAATAAAAAAAGTAAAGGAAATTAAAATTTTTTCTTATAAAAATTTTATTTTCCAAATTAAATTCAAAGAAGATTATCGGCTTTCCCTCAAAAACTTTAAGCTAAAATTATTTATTAAATTGTTACCACTGGTTTAGTTAATAGAAAGATTAAGAATCAAAAAAACATCTTCTAATCTCATATATGGTGAGTTTCCTTCTAAACAAGACTTAAATTTCATTTGAGAGTTCAACTAAATAAATGGAAAGGATGCTGTTTATTACAAAGATTTCAGTGATAGTAAAAAAATAAACTAATTCCTAATTCTCAATAAATTTTGCAAAATAAGTTAATTATATTGTATACCCGCTTATTTTAATTAAATAATATTTGAAAATATAAATTTTCCGTAAATAATTTTTTAAAATAAATTAATAATAATCTGCTATCAGCATTAACGAAAATAAAATTATATTGCAAATACACTCCTGCAATAAATTATTTTGTAAAATTACCAATAAGTTGCACTTTATAATCTGCTACTTGAATATTCTAATTAATTTTTCATAATAATTACAATTGCAAACTTTATATTTGATTAATTATTTTTATATTAGGAATACACACTTTCATTTATAAAACAACGTGAGCTATATACAATTATTTTTTGAATTATTAAGCCAAAATAATTAAAATGTTTATTTATACGTAATTCATAACAATATTGTAGTATGTGCATATATGTATACATACATAGTAATTTTTTGCAGGAAACAGCGATTTTATACTCTTATTGGAAAGCAAATCATATTACATGTAATACATGTGTGCGTACAATTATTACTTGTTAAAATTAACATTAGAAATTCAATTTTAAATCCATAATTACAAAATTTTTCGCCTTCTTAATAAGGTATAGATGATTTTCATTCAAATACAAATTTTCAATTTTAAAATTGAAATTTTTTAATAGTAATGATTTTCATATGGTATACAGTGTTAAAAATTGTAAATATGGTATTAATATTAAAATTATTTAAGGAGTGCATGGGTCGATAATAAAAATTAAATTTGAAAATTTTGAAGTTTATACCTCAAAATCTCCATAATTTAGCAAAATGTAATTTATTCTTATTTAATGTTTTAGTATTTTCATTAGAAATAGCGATTTTAAACATTTTCAAAAACGAATTTACCAGCCTCTCGATAACATTTTAGCGACTACTTTGTCTATAATTTTTTGCTAGAATTTCTTTCTTAGACACGAATGATGTAATATTTTATATTTTTCATGGCATTTTCTTATAATATATGTATCTGTATACCTGCTATTGTTTTTATATCTGTATACTTCCTACAATTTCTAAATTAGCTATAATTTTAAGGTATTAAATCCATTAAATTAATATTTTTTATAAATTCTAATAATTTATTATTAATTTTTTTGTTGTTTTATAAAAAGTACTCTCTTTTACGAATCGATACACTTAAATTGTTAAAAATACATTAGACTACGTAGATATAACCAAAAACGATCTTACGCAACCCGATGAAAATTAAATACTAATTTATATTCAGCTGTATTACACTGTTGAACATGTTCTAACCTAAACGCTATTTTATCACTCCAATATTTGTTTGATCCATGTTGGATTTAAAACAATTTCGTACATTTTTTGATATTTTTTTCTCCCTCTTTGAGTTTTTCCTCCTGAAATTCTCTTATTAGTGTTAGAGAAAGAAAAAAACCATTGTAGCAGATGAATGCTGTATAGGTTAATAAACATGTTGAACTGCGTAACAAAGCGAACGTATAATTCTCATAGATCGATATAGGTTCATATTCTTTATAGATTTATACAATCAATGAACTTAGCAATATCTTGAAAACTAACCTGCATAAATGTTTTAAGCTCATAACTCCAAACACTTGTTCCTTCGTTATAATTTTATCCAATAATAGACATCCATATTTATCTAAAAATCTCTCCTTTCGTTCCTCATACAAATATGGCTAAAAAAAATTTTCCATAAATATATTTCCAATTGAATAAATAAATAAATAAGAAAGAAGAAAAAAAGAGGAGTAAGTGAAAAAGCCATAAAAATATAATAGAAAAAAAAGAAAAAAATAAGAAAAAAATTTAAAATTTTTCTATTTTTTTGCTGCCATCTATAGCAAGAACTTTGCAGACATAAAAGTATATTGTATTCTAAAGTGGTATATTATGCATGAACCAATTTTCGTGCTTAAAAAAATTTTCTTTGAATTGAAAAACGAAATGAAAAAGAAAAGGAAATAAAATATAAGAAACTAAGTGAATTTTTCCCGTTAAATTTATATTTGAAACAACAAACGGAAGTTGCGGAAGATTTTAGAAGAGATCTAGAGTAAGATTAAGGAATGCAACTCAAAATTGAAGCTTTTATAACTTCCTGAATTCCTTTAAAAATTGTAATAAATTTTGACGTCATTCTAATTTGCTCTTAAAGCACGAATTTGGAAATTGGGAAGTACAATCTTTAAATGTTCAATTTAGTTCTCTTACACTCCTTAAGATTATAGTATGAGTTCTCAAAAACAATCATTACGATACTCCCGTTTCACTCCGTGACAATATGGTATAGTAACGTACTAATTCAGCCTTTATTTTCAATTTGAAAACACGCAGATCAAATTTCGAGATGCTTGCAACGAATGCATGGAGAAAATTTTCAAATAAAAATTTATTATAGGAAAAATTAAATTTCATCTTTAAAAATGCAATGTGAAATTGACTTATAAATACACACACTTCTATTGTAAATAGCAAGATTAATATAAGTACATGCACAAGACACACCTATAATATTATTAATTTTTTTATCGTAAATTTATTTTATTGAATTTTTATGAAGTAATCTAACGATAATCTTGTCAATTTAATAATATTATCAATCTCTCTTTAATATTCAAAAGGTTCTTTATCATAATCAATTTGCAAATAACTACGTTTGTATTTGTAAATTGCAGTTGCTGTGGGTCCTAGATATATGCCATTATTAAACGTTGCACTCTAATAACGTCACAGGAGAATGTCAACCTTTAAATTGTTTATGGAAAAAATTTATCGTCTCTTGTGTAATTGTAAACTAATTTGAAAAATGTTAAATAAAATAATAATATATAAAAGCAGTAAAGTCTAAAATATTTACGGTATAAGCATTGACAAACAAGAATTACAAGGTTTTAAAATAATTGCTACTTTTATTCTAATACTTTCCAAAAAAAAAAACTAAATTAAAAAAAATTAATTACCTTGAATGGCATCTCAATAATAGGGATGTTTTTCAAAAGTATTTTTAAACATATCACCATTTGGTAAACGTATTTACGATCACAGTCAAGTAATTTATCTAGTAGAGATAATACTGGAGAACTTCCTCCATCATTCGGCAAAGGTTCAGCACCATACCTACAAAATGTAAAATTTAATTGTCAATTGATAATAAAATGCAGAGTATGAGTAAATTAAGAAATTTCACAGCTACTTTTTCAAAACTAAATTAACAATTTTTAAAAATTCAGTAAAATAATCTCGAGAACCCTGCATTAGATACAAAAAATTTAGTTTTCCATATTGCATTTTTTCAAAATCTCAAAGTACATAAATTCAATTGAACATATTTCGTAAAGTTGCTTTTAAATTTTCCCTAAGTAAATTTTAGATAAATATAGAAAATGAAAATTGTATAAGAAAAAACCTGTTTTCTACTCTAATTGGAAATAAATGAAAATATTGCATCAATTTAAAAAAAAATTTCTATGCAAATCATCATTATAATTTTCATCATCAACATCATTATTTTATCAACAATTATTATTAAAGTAATTTTATCTTATTAAATCAATCCATAGAATTACAATATAACCTTCATACATATAGATTGTGGTTAAGGTATAAAATTGAAAAATAAGTATATAAAAATAAAAAACGATTCAGTCGACCTTAACCGACAAAATTACACCCTACATCCATGACAATCTGATTATAACAATTAATTTTTGCAATATTTATTACTATTTTTTAGACTTGTATGGAAGCTAGCGTAAATAGTACAGTTTTCTATTACAACTTTCTGGATATATGCGTAAGATATGATTGGACCGACGTATAGAAAATTTCATTTTGATATCTTTATTTCAGAAATGAAACAATTTTTTGGGTTTTGAGTTATTATACGATTGAGACATGTCTAATTTAATGCGAAATTTCACACTGAACAAGATTACGTGCACATTTTCAAATTGCGAACGCTTACTTAAAGTTATTACAAACCTTATACCAAATTTAGTATACGCTATGATATAATCAACATACGAGTACTACTATGTTGTAGGGTATATTAGATCTTCAATATTGCATTCAATTGAAAAATTTAATTATATGCAAGAATTTCAATACGAGAGTTCTTTGTACGTTAATTAAATTTTTATTCATTCTATAATATGGTTATATTGATTATATTAGATTGAAATTTTATCATTTAATTTTAATCTATGAATATTATATTTTGTATAGAAACCAAATTTCCGATTGAATCAACTTCAAATTAAATTAATTGGGAATTGATTAAGAAATAAGAATAGTTGAAGTTTGTGAAAATTCTGATATGAATTCTGCAGTGTTAGTTTATTTGTAAGTGAAATAGAAGAATTCGTACCACAAGACATTTATTTTAATGTATATACTAGAATTAAAATCCCTAGACGCATGACAATAATTGCCAGTTTGATGTTACTATTTTCATTTTTGCAAAGAATTATAAGTGAAACTTTCAAATTGCATATTTGAAAGTTTCACTTATATTGCACTAAGTTGATATTTGGCATACTTTAAAATTAAAAGTATTATTTGGACATTTGAAACACAAAAATGGTAAAATAAGTTACAAATAAATCGTTCATGGTGGATGCAAAAAACTTTCAGCTCAACAAATATTACCATATACGACTCACATTACCTTACATTACCAATTCTTTCAACATAGAAGTTAATGGTATAGTGAAATAATTTTAAGTGATTGATTCCAATCAGCATTTCATCTTATACAATTATAATCAAAATCAATAACCCAAATTTCTGGATGAATCAAATTATGTTACAAAAGTCAGTAAAATCATAGAAATAGTAAAAGTGAAAAAATTTCCGCTAAAAATTGAAACCATCTATTAATAACAAAAAAAAAACAATTTTCATCTAAAGCTTTATTTGTAATTTCTATTATCCTTTTCAAAATTATAATGGAGAATGAATAGCTCGGTAGGTGGTTTTTATAATAATTGTAATTCTTCCTATTCTATTTTAAAAATTAAATTAAACGAGAAAAAATAGGGTTGACCGTGTCAACTCTGTGATTCCCGTACGAATTTGTTATCCTATTTGCGAATAAAAATGCCATAGCTGACTATGAGACAGACTGTGGGCAGCTTTAGGTTGCCATAATACCATATTAATTTATGCAAAGTTTCAGTACCGCATTTTCAATATTTTCTAAGAAATGGCCAAACCACTATTGTAGTTTTATCGCAGCTACCAGAAAGAGCCGAGGAATTTCAGCGCATTTTAACAAGCACATTGGCCCTACTAACATATTCGCTTGTGTGAAATTTCAATATCACAACTTTTATAATTTCTAAGGTATAGTCAAATAAATTTTGAAATTGTATGGCAGCTACCCGAACCAGTACCCCAATCATATCCAATTTAAATAGGGTTCTGGCTGTTATTATAAAAAATCATTTGTAAAAATTTGGTGAACTTAGCTCAATTAGTTTTTGAGTTATCGCTGGGACGGATGGACGGACGAACAGACAAAGCTAAATCGACTCAGAATTCGATGTTGATCAAAAAAATACACTTGAGTCTATATCTCAGACCATTATTTCTTAGCGTTACAAACGGTAAGGCAAATTTATAATACCCTTCGAACATACGTTCGTACGGAAATAAAAAGAAAACCAATGCGCCTATTTTATATAGAAAACCTCACAATAGGTTGTGTATGTATAGACTATAGAGTCTCATTTAATTTATACAATATATTTATACATAATTACGTACATATATAATATTTATCATTTGTATACCAAAGAAAAATCGTTTACCTTAATAAGATCAACAATATATCGGGTGCAGTTGCTTGTAAAGCCACACGTAATGGTGATGATTTTCCGCATGATTCTATCGGGATATCAATGAATCTATATAGAAAAGAAAAATAAATAAACAGAAAAAATAATAATAATTTTATAGAAAATGAGGTGAAATAAATGGTTTAGAGACTATGAAAAGTAGAAAAAAAGAGGATATTTTCGTCTTGATGTTAAAGTTTTAAAATTTAAAATCAGTAATAGAAAACATTTCATTTGATTTGGAGCGTATGTCTCTCTTTCATCAAAAAATATATAAAAATGTTATAATTGAAGATCGTTCAAATTGCATTAGTAGGAATTTTAAATCAAATATCTACTTGGAAGTTGAATTGTTTAACTTCACTGCCAATAAATTTGAAAATTTTTAATAACTACCACATAAAATTTTTCGAATACACTCAAGAAATGTAACAATTAATAGTATCCTACAATTCTATCGCTTCGATTCTAAACCCCACAAATTACCCAAAGGCCATTATCACAACAACAAAAGATTTCTCTCTAGATTTCGTTTTCCTTTGCAAATAAAATCTATAGAGTGAAATTCAAAACAAAAACTAATGAAGATTAAGAGTTTAACTCCTCATTCCAAAAACTCTCCAGTACAAGTGAATGTCTCTCGTATGCACTAGCTTAAAAAGCTCATTCAAGAAAAGAGCGACAAATATTTTTACCCCATATTGTGAACGCAGTATTACTTTCATACCAATTGGCATATCGACACCACTTTTTTTTTACCAATAAAAAATACACGCTTTCTCTATACAAAATATAAAAAATATTTTTTTTTTATTTTTACATCTAGAAAAAAAATCTTTTTTATCGGCTTTATTGCAATCATTCGTTTAAGATAATGAGGAAATTGAAAATCGTGGCTTTTCCATATTTTCCTTATCCGAAATTCTATATGATATGGGCACGAAAAAAACCTATTAATTTTCAGTTTAAACCTTTGTCATATCACGATTAATGTTGTAGAGGGAAAAATGAAAGATAATTTGAAAAAATTATGGTGTCCCCAACAAACAAAAAAAGAAAATAAAAACAACATCTAGGTTATTAATTAAAGGGACTAAAAGGATTCAAAAGAATAGCTAACATAAAAATGTTATTTTTATAACAGACAAATATTTTCTTTGTGACCTTTTTAAACAAAAATTTATTTTTAGATCAAATTATAAAAAAGGGCTTCAAAACTTAGAAAGTTTCCATTGAATAAAATATGAATATTTTTTTTTAAAAATCACCTATTAGAACTAATAATAATCGATTCTCATCCTTTTGATTTTTCGATCAAATTTTTCTACTGCTTTCCACAAGATATAGAAAATAACTTAAATAAGACGTACATATTTCGTGGCTAATGGAATACAAAATTGTTAGTTAATAGGGTAATGAGCCGAAAAATGAAAAAAAATTTACAGCTTTTCTATATATTTTTATCCAATAACGTTCATTAGTTTCATATATGTATATAAAAAGGTATTTATAGTTTAGTCGAAATTTCTTATTAACTTAATTGCTTTTAAATTACAGTCAATTACCAAAATATTATAATTTTCGTATAAATAATTATAGGTACGAATACATAAATTCGATAAATATACACCAAGTGAATAATCTGATTATGATAAAAATATTTTAACATACCTAAGTAATTTCTCGCCTTCGTAATTATTTATGACAAAGGGTAAATGAAAATTTAACCAAGTTGCATGTTCTAAGAAATAAACAACCGCTTTCGTGTTCTCTTCCTAAAAAACACAAAACAATTTTGAAAAAATATAATATTTTTTTAAGTTAAGCTCTATGTTCAAAGATTCCCGATTAGAATGACAAAGATATACCTGGTTATTAAAATCACTTTTCCATCCAGCTATGAAATGTGGTGCACTTGGTCCAAATAATGCTCCCAAAAATAATCTTTCAAAAGTTTTTTCACATGAATAAATTTCCTCTAAAAATATTAAAAATAAGTTTGATTAAAGTTTAATTTTTTGGACTTGATTATGTATCTCGCCTTTTTTACTTGCCGAGTGAGTAGAAAATGAGTGAATATTACACTATGTTCGTATCCGTATAATAGAAATTCCAAGTAAAAAGAGTTTTTCGTATTCCGCAATTGGTTTTTTGAAAGATTTATACAAAATTTAATCACAACTTTTTTTAATGTATAATTTGAAAATGAATTAGAAAGGCGACTGAAAAGGCGGGATAAATTATTTAAAATCTAAGTTATATTTGCTATATATGAAAGGAATTTAAATACGCTTATAATACGCTTTAAATATTCTTAAATGCTAAATATTAAGAGGCAAATCGTAGTTTGTTAATCAATAATATTGATATTATGAATTCAAATTAGACATCGGTATTCTAAATTACACAAGTTGATGGGTTCAATTTTGATGATCTATCCCATCTGAAAATTCCAGCATTATGGATCAAACTTTTCAAATTTAAATCTTAAGTTAATTTTTACCCCTACTTTAGGGACTACAGGGTTTCACTGCAAGAACAAAATTTTATTTATATTCAGTAAAGAATTCCTTCGGCAATTGAGACGCGTACCTCGCATTATGAACAGCTTGAACACCCTTTTGTTATAGCAATTTAGAAAAAGTGGGAAAAATATTTTAATTTCTCTCAATTTAAGATCGCCTTAATAACAAGAAGTTTTACGAAAACAAAATATGTTTCTTTTGAAACTTTATAAACTTTAACGAATACTTTACAAGTATATGTGTACATATTTTCCAAGATACTCAAATGATACATACTGCATACATATAAAAATATAACACAATATTTATGTTTCGTGTGTGATGTAATCAACTCTATTAACATGAATTTTACTTGGACTTTTATAATAGTAATAAAGAGAAAAAAGAAAATAAGAAAATAAATTTACAATAATAAAAATTTATTACGTAACATTAAGCATTTAACTTTTTAATGTTTAAATTTACGATAATACATACACACATATGTGAAGTTTAGTAAAGAAATGCAATAAAATATAGATAATGTTTTTAAGGGAGAAATTATATTAGAGAACTAAAATTAAAAATTTAAGAAAAACTAAAGAATATTGTGGGTAAAACCTGTATTTTATTGAATTTTTTTTATCTATATATGTACACATATCAAGTTTTTTCACTTACCTAACAATTGTACAACAAGTTCTGAATCTCTAACACCATAATCCCAGCATGTTCTTAAAGCTATATACAATATATTGTGAAATTTTCCCATAAGACATATCTAAATATATAAATAAAAAAAATAAAAAAAACAATAAAATAAAAAAAGTAATAAGAAAGTTAACATGCTGTGAAAATATGAAGAAAATTTGAGAAAACGCGCATTCTATAACATTTTTGACTGTTAAAATGATATTATGCGAAAACTTATTTTATACTTTAAATTAACAATAAAATCAGCAGCACACACAGAATAGTACTTTGTTATTGTTCTAATGTAAGAGGAGTAGTTCGAACAAATTTACTAAAAAAATTTAATTTAAATTGAATATGAAATCTCTAATATCATATGAAGTAAATTCGGATTAATTAACCAATTCGGTATCAAAAAAGAAAACCGGACCTTTGCGTTTTCATAAATTTATACAGGCGAATTATTTTAATTCGTAGATCAAATATTGAATGGGAGCTTATTAAATGAGACCTTGTGTTTGAGATAGGGAATAATGTATGGATCCATTTATAATTTTTCTTTATTTCATAGCCATATCAGTGAGGAATTGAGAATGAAGGTAGATTATATTTTCAAAAACTTTTGATGCCATAAGCCCGATTGTAGAGTTGTTAACTCGAGATAGGTTCTTTCTCACTGCTGAAGTTATGCTCATATTAAATGCAATTAACCAATTACTTGCTCAATTTCATATTTTTTTCAATTAAATATTCGTACTACTTGATATTAATAATGTTATATTGTTAATTGTAAGTAATATTTTTTGCTGGTCGAAAATTCACACAATAAAAATTAAATGAAAATTTATATTGCCGACTACAATATCAATGTCATAAGATTTATTTTATATAAGTTGCTCTTTACCTCATGGTTGCCATGTTTTTTCATTTGATGATAACTAATAGCAGCTGAAACAGCTGAACGTGCTATTTGTTCTGGTAAAACATCAGCACCTGCCGGTAGTAAAATATTTTAGAACCTAAATATATGGGTTAGCTAGAAGAATTGCTTACCTTCACTGCAACCGCCAATCACAGCATTTAAATGGTCTAAAACATTTCTCCGAGAAGAACGATCACGTAGGCCACTTCGACCTAATCTGTCAAATGTTTCCTCAAAAAAACAATCGAAAACGAATTCCATATTTCACTAATTTTTTGTCCTTTTGAAATTAGTTATTCCGATTTTTTTGGCAAATATTTACAAATATGCATAAAAACGGAGCTAGCCGATGTCTCAGTAAAAAACAGAAATATTAAATTTTTTTTTCACATTGGTTATTTGGGCAACAATTGAAAATCAAATTTAAAATTTTTCACTATATTCCGATATGAGTAGGTAAACTCAAATTTATTTTGGTTTGTAATTGTTTCGATCCACAAACTTATTTATTATTCCAATGGAAATAAGTCTCTTTTGTTGAAAAAAAATTTCACTTCCTAATATTTTTTCATTACAGTTCGCACTACACAAGCCCGTTCTGAATTTTCTTTGTTCGTTCCTTTATTGTATTATGAAATTTCAATTGCAACAATTGCATAATTTATATATAAAGCTCCTCAAAACTTATGATGTAATATTTAATAATTAAATTTAAAATTCTTAATTATTTTAATAAAAATTTTGTTTACTTTTTCATTAATTCAAAATATTGCTTGTCATATTTTTAAAATAAAACTTTTAAATATTTTAAAAAATTTAAAAAATTTTTATTGAAATTTTTCGAACGACTTCAATTAATGCATTCGAATTGTGTACTGTAAAAATTATTTACAATTTTATTTTATTTAGATATTTTGTTTAACAAAATTATTTATATTGATTTTGAATAAGGTCTTAAAATTCCACTTTACACCAAATACACAAATCCCTATTGATTTTATTACAGTTAAGAAATGGTTAAGAATATAAAATTGAAGAACAATGAAATACACTTTTACTATACCGCATACGACAAATATTTTAAAGGTATTGTTATATGTTTAGAAAGTTATTGTAGTGCTGCACTTTGTGGGCTTCCAAAATATAACGTAATATGGTAATATTCTATTTTTTACATATTATGGCAATTGTTATATTTAAATGAAAATGCTAAAAAAGTACGACCGTGCCATTTCAACCGTTTCGAATTAAAATTGAGTTGAAGGCGAAGTGGACGTCCACCTTTTTGTAAAAGCGCAATAAATATTTGAAAATAACATTACTTCCTGCTAAAATTTTTTTGAAAATTGAAAATGTATAACAATTTTTAATCCCTACATTATAATGTTTAATCAAAAACTTCACATGCTTTGTTATTTTGGAGAGGGGAAACCATATTTGTAATTTTTCAATCACTGGCAATAAAACTGTTTAAATAATTTTGATAACTAATTTCTTCAAACCAATTATCAAATTATACCATTGTTCCTCCAGTGTAAGATGACTCCCAAAATGTTTTAAACGAACGCTTGTTATGTGTTACACTCTGTTATAATAGAAAAGTTTGAAAAATTGCTGGAAATACCTTATTTGGTTTTATATTATTTTAAAATTATAAAGAAAACGCTTGTGGAATTATTTCATAATTTTATATCGTAACATACGATTATAACTGAGTAATATTCATTCATAATAAAAATTATGTACGAGATTTTATTACCATATATTTTCATTTCGTTTCCTATTTGACTCATCTATGGCCTAATGCATAGGTTTTTTTAATAGAGTTTTGTCGATTTCAAGAAATTGTCGTTAATTATATTGTAGTAAGAAAGAGCACTGTTTTGTATATAAAAAATTTTTGAAAAACCGGCTATGTTTTAAAGAAAGCAACTTTGATTAGAGTCTACTTCCCCCACAAATTTTAATAAAAATTAATTCAAAATTTCTAACAAAAATGATTTGCAAAAACAAATACACTTCAAACCGTGATAAACACTTTAGGTTATTAACGGTTCTGGGCCCTAATATTTCGAAAATTTTATAACATGTATGAATATTACTTAATTATTTTACAGCAAATTCAAATTTGTAAAGTTTATTTTATTAAATTATGGCAATAAAAAATTTTATAGCTGTTTTGTGTGTTTTAATAAAAAACAATGGCAAATTGTTTAATGACCTGTTTTAAATTATATAAATTTTCACAATTATTAATATATTAAGCTAATTAAAATGTTATATTAATTAAATAATATTTTAATAATTACAAATACATTTAATAGTAATTTGAATAAGAAAATTTAATCGAAATTCCAAAATGAATTTAATAATAAATAAATTATATATCAAGCTTACTACATTTGTTATTACATAATACATTAATTTGCTAGAAAATATTTACCTTAAACATTTTGTAATTATCATTCATTTCTTTTATATTTTTAAATTTCAGATTATTATGCCAGGATATAAATCATGATAATTCATTTCATTTAGAATATCGTGGTCCAGTTGTTATGAAAGGTAAACCAACACCAATGGAATGTTGGTTTTTAACACGTTCAACTACAACATTATCGGTAACAAATCCAAGTGGTAATAATATACCATTATCGAATAGCACAACAACAAGTTTTAAAGATGTATACGAAACAACAAGTACTTCTGAAATAAATCCATCGGATACAACATAATTGTTAAACGATATAACCAATTAAATCATATATTGTATATTATTAAGTATGTACAAATAAATAAAAAAATATTAAAAAAATATATATACATATAATAATATTAAATATAATAAAATCAGTATATGTAATTGAATATAATATATACAACAATAATGATTGTACATAATATATTTATGTACAAACAACCATTGAGATTGTCAGTTTTTATATCGAACCTACTTTTGTTGTGAATTTTACAATATAAAATTGGAATTCAAAGAGTTCTTGTAATCAAACAATTTCAAACAAACTCATTTTCTTCAAAAATTGTATTCCGTAGTGAACGAGATAGAATAAATATCGAAGAACTAATATAAGAATTCATTCATTTAAAAAAATCAATAATTTTTACTGAAATTTTCTATTTTCCCTAGCTTTCTTTGTGTACTCGTCCACAACAATTTCGTAAAAAATATAAAACCGGTATACAAATTTGTTCAATTCTGATGTAAAGTTATCTACAATCCTGGCGATAATTCGTGTAAAACGGCAATCTTATAATACAAAAACATACAAAAAAAATTTTAAATAACTGTATATTGTAAACCCTGGGATTACATTGAAATTTTAGTTATCGAATTTTACACCTGATATTATTGTGCATATTATAACATAATATTTCATTCCAATTAACTTGTATATTGAAAATTCAATATAAATAAATAATATTAAAACATAGAATCAAATAAAATTTAATTTAATTAAACCGTAAAAAAATATCAAATATCTATATACATATATATTGTATAAGGATATTTGATATTATTTTAAAAAAAAAGTACTAAAATATTATCAAAACAGAATATCTAAATAAAAAACATGCATAAGTATATGCATATAATGCAGTATAACAAATATATTATGTACATATTATAAATATATAAGCAATGATTGAATTTTGTATACATTTGACTACTATGAACGATAATCATGATGCGATATATGTACGAACATACATACATAATTTTATACTATAAAATCATAAAATATACTCCTGAGTGAATACTATATGCATGTATAATATATACTATATTTCTATATAATAGTAGTATAAGAAAATATAATTTAATATTTTAGAATAGTTTAAATAAAAATCACGTAATTGAAAATATGTAAATAATATTAAAAAAACAATGAAATAAATAATAAAAAAAAATTATTTTTATCAATAAAATATAATTTAGGAATTAAGTGAAAAAATTCTTTCATAAATACTTATATACATATATTACATATATATAATAGATAATAGTGTAAAAGTATAAATTCATTCACATTTTCCTATTTCTAAAATAATTGTAAATAAATACATAAAATATTTAAATTTAATAAAATAATTATATAATAATAATAAAAAGGGGAAAAGCTTTTCTTTCTAAAACATAAATACATATTATATATTATATTCATTTCTTATAACCTACCTTTATATACATACATAATAAATACATACACATAAATATTTTTATATAGAGGGTGTCTCATATTTAAATTTACTACTGCTCACTATTGTATAAACTTGCATTAATAGCTGAAGGTTTTGTATAGATGCAATGTTCCCAGCTCAACAGGATTACAAGGACAAGGAAGGTAGTTCATATATCAACTGCTTTTTTGTATTTTAAAATTTTAAGTATAATTTTGCTCCTGCATCAGATAGACACATCGTTAAAAAAGATTTGGAAACCTCAGAACAACAACTTTTTCATAAATATTTACATTAATTATAATCTCTTCAGATTTCGGCATCAATATCTTTAAAGTTCGAAAATTTTTAATTTTAACTTTTTTTTTTTCGAAAACTTTTTTTTTTTTATATGATATATTGCAACTTCATCTAATTTCAGCACAGCCTGCAATTCAGTTAATTATAACTTTTAATTTCAATCAGTCATCTTTATACGTGTAATTGTTTAGAAGTTATTTAGAATTACTTAATTTAGCACTGAGAATGTTTTTTCTTCAATGACTTTAAAATAATTTACAAGTATAACATTCAAAATGACGTCCCTCCTCTGTTATATTACTGTTCAACTTAGCATGTAAACCAAGTTTTAACTTTTATCATTTGCAAAAATTCATGATGCGGAAAATATCATATTACATTTTTCATTTATAGAGATTCATTACAACAGATTAGAATAACTTTAAATCCCTATAACCCGGAACCTGTTGAACCATGAACATTGTCTTCATATACAAATTTTTTACCTACTGATAAGATTTTACACAATGATGTAATAGAAGTGCGTTTATATATGAGCCACCCTGTATTTTCATTTAATACCATTTTAAAATTGTTTATTTTTAATATTTCTATACTACTTTCATACATACTTTTATTAAATTCTCTCATACTATTTTATAATAAAAAATTTTTATATATAAAATAATATATATATATATATATGAATATGTATATAAGTTTTTCAAATATCTCTTTTAAAATATCAGTTCTTATTAAATTTAATAAAAAAAAACAAACAAACTTTTTATAATTATTATATTTTTAACTAAGAACAAAATAAAAAAATATAATATTTATTTATTATGAAAAAATAAATTTATAAATAAAATATTTTTTAATTAAAAAATTAAAAATCATAAAACATAAATCAAATCAACGAATCGTTAAAATTTTTAAATTAAATACTTAACATAAATAATTAAAAAAAAAATAATTGGAAAAAAATTAATTAAATAATTTAAAAGTAAAAAAATTTGGAAAGTATCAAATATTTAAATTTCGTTTTTATTGCCGCTGAATTTTATTGAAGTATGACAATGATTTTATATAAAAATTTGTCCTAATTTACTTGAATATGCCGAGTACTGATAACAATAAAATAAATAACAAATTTTCATATTTAATACTTTTCAGTTGAATTTCTAAATTTTAAAGAACAAAAATTTAATAAAATTTCATAATTCATAATTAGTGTAAAATAAATAACAGTTAAGCGATTTTTAAAATTATTTTAATTTTTTTCAAAGAAAAAAACAAAAGAAATGTCTATTTGCAACTGAAATACAGCTGAATGACGTAGCCAAAGAAAAATTTGATTAACAAATTTTTTCTCTCCAAACTAGATCTGCGGCTTTCTAGGCGGAAATTTTTCCAACTGAGCTAAAGAGGTAATTATCCACAAATTATTTTCTAGATTGTTTTCTACTGCAATCAAAGACCTATTCGATTGTTGTTGAAACACCTTTTTGAGTTCCATTTAATATTTCGCTGTATACTTTTTTAAGAAAATTAAATCAATGTTTTATTTCCATTATTTTTTTTCTAATAATTTCTTTTTTTTGTTCATCTATTTTAAACACAATGTTACACCTGAAATGTGAATCATAATGGTGATTCGGGCAATATAAACGCATCGTTGCTATTTTCAATTTTCCTCATATAATAAAATAGTCCTTAAATTTTTTGCTCACATTAGTTCGTAGTTCACATTATTCTTCGGGCTGAATAGGATTTTGAAGGTATATAGTTATTGATAACAAGCTATACTTTAAATGTTTAAAGTAAATACAATTTTCAGTACAATAGATCAAGGACATGGATTTATGTTGAAAAAAAGGAATTCAACAATTATTCTTTCCTTTCATTAATCATTTTCCTCTTTAACTTTCAATAGCAATTAAGTTGAATTCAATTAAAAATACATTCGAATAATTTCCACCTTTTTCCGATCTATTAAGAAAAACATAATTTAAATATTCTGGAATTATTCTTAATTTTATAAATATTGTTTTATTAATAAAATTTACTCAATTTAATACCTTAATGAAGATTAATGGATACGATAATGAAAATATCGTTTTTTTTTTAATATCTTTAATAAAATCTTAATTAAATTAAAAATTATAACTCTTTTAACACATTTCATACTTTCAATAATCGTTTAACATTTTAAACCGAGGAGAAAAAATTATTTAACAGCTCGGCTATAAATTCAATAATTAATTTTAAATTATCGCCTATTGTTAATCGATCAATTAATAAATTCATATTTCTTTTATCGTACATAACAATTAACTTTATATTTAAATTAATTTTTGAGTACAAGACAAAATATAAAAGAAAAATCGGTTAAAAAATGGTTGGTGGAAAAATTATTGCCTTGTTCTTCACAATCACGAAATAAAAAAGGCTCATATAAAAGTTTTATAAAAATTTTAGTTGGTTCAGTGAATTTTTTAATTCATTGAGGCAAATTTTTAAACTTCGAGTTATTGATCAAATTTCAAATTTATTTCAAATTTGCTCCAAATCTATTTCAAATCATACAGTCCTTACAAGGGACTCACAAACTATATAATAATGATTGTTGAGAGCCAAATAAATTTAGTATATATTATTAACAGCATTTTCGAAATTATCACTCACTGTAAATCATAATAATAGTTTCTTCACAATTGATTTCCAAATTACAGTTGAGTCCAGTCAGAAAATTCCAGCAGTCACAAATTTTAATTTTATGATTTAATTCAAGCGATTTTGAGTGAAATTAGACATTAGACGAATTAGACATTTTTATATCGAAAATTTAGTTATTTCAATAAAGTTTTTAATTACGGTGGATTTCCAGTATCTGAAGACTTTTCCATTACATGAAGACTTTCCTTATGTAAAAACACTGACAATATAACCGAGTTGTGCTATTATACAGGATTGATATTACGCGAATTCGATAAATTTCCAATCCATTATTATGTATTGCCTACTTTTAGGGGTTCTTATTTATTTTCTATTTATTTATCTGTGAATTAATGTTTTGAACATCTTGTACATATTTTTTTGATAATAATGTTTAATGAATTTTAAAAAAGTAGCCTTTATAAATAGAAAATTTAAAAAAAGAATTAAATACAAGCACATATTTAACCCTAAATTATTAGTTTTGTTTTCTTCCAAATATCACCAATTTAAAAAGTTAAATATGAACAAAAATATTATTAACTGAAATTGCAAATCGCAAATT